CCATCGCATCCGCCATGCTCCAGACCGAGCAACAGCGCGTGGCGCTAGCCATCTCAAGCTCGGTGGTTGAGCGCGAGAACGGGCACTGACGTGCGACCCTTCGGTCGGAGCTGCGTTTCCCTTCTGGGCGGAGCTGAAATTGCAGCTCTCCCGAGTATTCTCGCCGCCTAATCAGGCGTATCGCGTGTGATCGCGTTTCCTGCCACTTGACAGGGCAGCAGAGAATTGTTGGACCTTGTCCAAGAGTTGCGAACTCTCATTGCCGGGATGGCAGCAGATCCTCTTCCTGAGGCGGTCACAGTGACCGTGTTTATGGAAGGCCTCCGCGCTGGTATGGTCAGAATGGAAGTCTTCCATGTGCATCCGTCCTCATGTGAGGAGGCGGTGAATGTGGCATTGAATGCCGAATTCGATTTCAAGTCGGCACGACTTGGTTAGAATCCAGACTCCAACAGCTCGTCGAGCGGGCCTACGCCCATGGATCTCAGCTATGTTGAGGACGAGGAAGCAGAGCTCCGAGCTGCCGGGCAGCATACACACATTCGACGGTATTTTGTCTGTGGAGACACCCGCCACCGTCGGAGCGGTTGCCCCTTGCGCAAGGCGCGTCAAGGTTCTTCGAGCCATCGCCCCAATTCCTACCAGTCTGGTTCGCTGCAGGGAAACGACACCACTCAGTAGGCGCGGGGCGACCTACTGGGGAAGAACTGAGTTCTGTTGAGCCTCAGGGAGGCATAGGTCAACAGGGCCCAGCCCCGATGAGCTCAGTGCTCTTAAGCACGGGACGTGTGTCCAAGCCGGGCTTACTGGTCGTGGAGGCGACCGTAAAGGGCTTCAAGAAGCCATGGAAAATCTTCATATATTCTGGGGCGTCGGGCAATTATGCTCGACGCTCCAACGACGGAAGGAAGTCAGCTGTATAGCTGAGGCGCTGAAAGCGCGGTTGGGTGACATCGTCACTGTTCGCCTAGCGACGGGGTCGCGTGTCACGGTCCCGAAGGTCCCTGTGGACCTCGAAGTCAAGTTACTTGACTTTGATAGCGTGGAACGCTGTCTAGTCTTTGACTTGGATGCAAGGTTTGACCTCATCCTAGGAATAGCATGGTTGGAACACCATGAGCCATGGATTGATTGGATGTCAAAGACCTTAGCGCTACGCACACGTCTCCTGGTGGAGCTTTGGCGAGAAATGAACCCACCTCTACTAGGAGACAAAAGCGCTATTGGTGAGAGCACTGGACCGAGACGGTCAACGTGCTAGACATTGGAATGTCCGAGATGGTAGACACCAACGGTGCGTTGGACAGGAGTGCCGAGCGTGGCTAGGGGGCTGATCGTGAGGTGGCACGAAACCCACTGAGCGCTGCTCAAGTTTCAAAGCAGTCGCTGCATGTCATGCGTGAATTGGTCGGCCAAGGGCCGAGGCATCGAGGGCGAGGCCCTCGTGATGCACGTGGAGTGGAACGAAAACCACTGAGCACTGCTGTCGTTGCGAAGCAGTCGCTGCATGCCATTTATGGCGTGGTTGGACAGAGTCCGAGGCATCTTGGGCACGACCCTTCAGATGTGCGTGGAGTGGCACGGCATCCACTGGACGAAGACTGAGGGGCTAGCAGTTCTTCGTCGGATTTTGTAGATAACATCGGAGCTCTAAAGAAGCGGAAAGTAAGGGTGACACCAGACGATGCGGAGTGCTTGTTCACCCTGGTCTCACCGAGACATATAACCTCTGTCAGAGGCGACGGTGACGC